GTTAGCTCTGCTTTCTCTCCACAGATGTTGCCAGACCTGCTGAGTTTCTCCAGCAATTTCTGCATTTGTTTACTTTAATGTAACTTGCTAAAAACTTGCTGGAACATTCCCTTTTAAAACTTGAAACGTTTATAGAGTATAATAATTCCTACTTTTTTTTTAGCAAACTGGAGATTTACTCCTATTCTGGTGTTCTTTCCGCCCCTACTCCCCTTGGCTGTAGTGGTGTTGACTCTGTTTTGGATTGCAGATCCATTGCCAAACTTCCCTTGCTACCACACCTGAGTGGTCATGGCTGGGTTTTCACTGATAGAATTGGTCGCCTGATGGGTGCATTTCCAACTGAGCAGAGCACAAACCTGTCTGGTCATACCCATAGAGTTTCAATAGGGGTTACTGCTTACTAACAAGAGCAGGAATACTGCCAGTCATCAACTTCCATATCCAAAAGTACATCACCACAAGATAGAGAATAAATTTATGACTTGCATCTGTACAGTTAATTTTACAAATAGCCTTAACTAAATCAGTCGTGAAAGATGCCTCGGTGTTTAAGAATACAGCATATGCAGTGTAATTTAACTTATAACACTGGGCATGGAAAAAGAATTTGAACTAAGGGTTAATATTAGAAAGTGTTCATCCAGATCTGATGGGTCACAACTACGTGTATTCTATAGCTGGTAACTCCCCTGAGTCTGGGGTGATATGATTATAGTTGTTATGTAGAGGATATTCCCTTAAGACTCTGTAATGTGATTAGAGGTGTTTTGTAAAAGATGTTTCTGTGGATATAATTAGAAGTGTTATGCAGAGGATACTATGTGGCCAAACAGCCTGCTATCCCAGTTCATGCGAGAGGCCGTTGGCAATAGTAAAAGAAAATGTTTACAGTAAACAGCCTTCTTCAGTCTTCCCTCCCTATTTGCTCCGTTGTCACCTCTGACACCTGAAGGAAAGAGCTAATGGTAGATGACTTCTTCAGAATTGATTCTAAATGCTGTCTATCTACTGGGCAACACTTATTCATTGTCCTCTCACCCAACTCTCTTCAGCTTTGTCTTCCCCCGAGAAATCTCATACTTTTTAACATTGAAATGCCGATCAACATTTTGGTCATCTTACCACACCTTCAAGGTTCCCTCCCAATAACTACTTTGAATCTATTCATTTCATCCAACTCGTTCACTATTTGCTGGTTCTGGTCATCCAGTTTGGCGCAATCAATGTCTAACCAAAATGTTCTTAATTAGAGTTCTCATTGACAACCTATGTTAATGATTAGGGTATTCCATTCCATCCTTCATGGCTTGAAATACAATAACGCTGAATAAAATGATCAATCACCATTCTTTTCTATTCGTTTACTCTTCTGGTTTCATTCTAAGTTAACCAAATGAGAAAAATAACAGATTTTCCAACTTTTCTGTCTCACATACGTTAGTTTTTATTATGCCCAGAAGTTTGATTTCTGGTTCCCTCCTAGTCATCATTTTATATTGCTGCCTGGTCGTACCATAAACATATGTTTGCCTGATGCTCAAAACTGCACCACTTTTAAATCTAATAATTGTTTAGTCTGATGCCTTTCAGGCACTAAGTCCTGAATGCTCCTAAACTTTACTCACCTTATGTCAACACCAGAAGTCAAGTCATCCTGTTTGGTTTCCATCAGAAATTGTGTCCTTGGTTATAATTTTGCTTTGTGCATTCTTTATCCTCAATTGAACCCAACAGTGAGCAACCCTCATCTTGTGCTTAGTTCAGAGCTAAATATTTTCATTTCACTTCTGAAGGTGACCACATCCTCACGATGGCTGAGACTTTAATGATCTTGAGCATGAACTGCAACTTCCTTTTAAACCCATAGTGATGATGTTGCCATGCATTAGAGACTTTTGAACCCTTATTATTCCTTCCCTTGCCAACTTCTTCTGATTCCCATAGTATTAATTTCAAAAATCCTCGTCTTCATCTTGGTTTGAGGCTCCATTGTTTCTCTACAAGCTTTTTCAACCCTAGTTTTCAGTAAATATTTTTCACCATTCCAACTCTGATT